ATACAAGTTTTCAGCGGATTTAGTGACCTAGGGTATTTTGGCGCCGGCGCCTGTGGCGCGGGCGCCAGGCGGTTTCAGGCCAAGCGGATGTGATATTCGTGTTCAGGAGGTCAAACTACCCCTGGGTACAAGTTTTCAGCGGATTTGTTTTCAGCGGATCAAGATTCGGCCGGTTTTCGGAAAATTGAGGTAGTAATATTGGAATGGTGCCGTTTTTTTTTCTATAAACTTGAAAAGTTTGCTGGCTTTTAAGGATCCAGGAAATGCGAGTTTTCTTAAGGGTATTCTCAACGCTAATTATTGGGACAGAGCCAGCCCACTGGAGCACTAATAAAGGAGCCTCCTCATCGGTGCCCCCATTCCTCTCTACCGTCCTCAGTTGCGTTCATACTTCGCGATTTACTTGCACGATTATGAGGGAAGGCGCACTAATAGTTGAACCGCTTTAACTACTGACCAGTCGAGTTCAGTATAAAACATCTTTCTACTTTGCAGAGGATCTATGGAATACCTCTGCAGCGCGCTCGGACGCATCGCGTAATGCTCAAATCGTGCGGCTTGAATTGCTTTACTCGCGAAGCATGAACGCGGCCTTAGAAAACAGAGAACATCAGGGAAGAAGGCAAAATAGTGAGCCCACGCCGCTTACGCATAAGACTCACTGTGGAGTAGAAGAGGTATAAGGTGCTCACCTTTATTAGAGAATCGCGGATCCTTGGGATCGATCACACCATGAAGGAAGCTGCTTTGATGAGGTCGCGGGGTAGTGAAACGCGGTACACCAGGTGAAGAGAATAGATGTCGAGGCGATTTGGTCTGCTCACTAGTTCCTAAAGGATTCAGTTGTGTCCAAATTCCTTATTTACCTTAAATAATGCTTTAGGTCATGGAGATGTAAACGACAGCGCTTTTGTTTTGCGTCCGATGTCATTGAAATCAGGCGAAGGTCGTCAAACGTGAAGGTGAAAATCTGGAAGCTGGGTCTGAGTCAGAAGCGACTGAATAGCAGAGGCCTGGCAATAGGGCCCAGAATCGGGATGGATGACATGGCGGTGTGGACTACACCCCATCCCTCCTCTTCCCCGCTTTCTTATCCTAAATGTAATTTTCCCAAATTCTTTCGACTCCCTACCACTTTTCCAGAGACTTTCCACTTTTTTCAAGAAATTGGTTTCGAAGGGGTGGACGCTCTTTCAAACTACCACAAAAAGTAGTGATAGTAATTCTAGGCACTTTATAATTGGGAGAGGGTGTATTGGGAAGTGGGAGTCAGCAAGCGACAATCTGCCCATTGGCTTGGAAAGATTCCTCCGAGGCAAGAGCCAGTCCCCGAAGGGGCCCTCCTCAAGATATGTACCCTGCCCGGCAAATGGGCAAGCTCATTATCGTAGAGCAGGACTGATAGTTTCGCAGGCTTCCTAAAGCCACAATCCACCCTGGGCCTACATGGGTGGAACCCATCATTGCAACCTGCATCTTTTATTTGTCCTTCCTTCTCTTGAAGGGGGAGGAACACCTACGGAGTGGACTGTGCTTGTCAATGTGACCATACGTACAGAATTTCTTTGTAGAATCGCAAAGTTCCCATCCAGTTCAACTGGATCTCGCGTTTTCGGGTAAATAACTAGGGCCAATGCATTTTATGCCTAAACTCCTTTTCTGTCAACTTGAATCCGTTACAGCAAAGAGTAAGTACCTGTACGATTGTTCAACTTATTCTGCTTCTTTCGATGTCCCTTTTGTTTCTTTGGCACATTTGTAGTTTCCTCAATCGGAGCAGGAGATGACTGTTGAAGTTTCTTCTTTTTCTTCTTTCCTTTTCCTTTACCTTTCTTCCTTGGCTTCTCTATGAACTCCTTGTCATCTTGCTTTATCTGAAAAAGAATTTCTGAAAATACGAAAGAAGAAAAATGGTGTATTAAATACTAAATGCAACGAAAAGAAGACAGAACGACAACTGGATAGATTCTCAAGTAGAAGCGGACCAACAAACAAACAAACAAACAAACCAACAAAAAACAATTAAATAGCAAGGAACTAATCAAAGCATCGGATAAACAGAACTCAAGCGATCCCTCACCTCTTCTCCTCTTTTCTGAATCTTTGTTATGTAGACAAGCGGTGGAGAATTGATGTCAATCTCAAGCATATCTTCATCATCACCCTTCAAAGTATAATATTGGACAAATGGGATCTACTGAACAGGGAAATATTTTAAGAAAAAGGAATAGAACACGAGTTAAACAAAAATCAGAAGGGGTGCTATGAATGATAAGGGTTTGAAGTTTACACAGAGCAGACCAATTAAGACGGAGAAAATGGTTTGAATTGGTATAGCTTTTACCACTGCAGTCACTTAGGGACGGCGTGAGGAAGGCGGGATGACCCGCCTCAGGGTGCCTTTTTCTACCAGTAGTAATCGGGTAGTGATCGATTTAGGAAGAAAACAACCAGTGAAGGAAACGCCGCAAGGAGGGCCGACTGCTTGCGGCTCGACTGATTGCGGCGATATCAACTGAAAGTATAGTAGCTATTCCCATGACTCCCAATATACATTCAGAATCCCTGACATGAGGTAGGCGTGGCTGCGCACTTCAGCTGAACGTGGCGGCAGCTAAGCATATCGTGAGATTTTATCATTTTGGGGCAGTTGTAATCATGTCTCTGTTCAACATCGAACAAGATGAGAGTTGTCTCAAATTGAAACATCCCACGAGTAGCCCGTCCTAGGCCATGTTCAAATGCCACGCCTACTCCGTCTCAGGGATAAGGAGTGTACCTATAGGAACTGGATAGGATCAAGGGCGCTGCTTGGCTAAAAGGGGGGGGGGGGGAGGCTGGGAAGTGTGAGTTAGCACTTTCGAATGGTTTTTTTTGGCGAGTT